TGATAGAAAATGTTATGGGGAAAGAAATCCCAGCCTTGCCCACATTGTTTGTGCTGTGAGATCATTTACATTCAGTTATAAGCTTTTTTCAAAAGAAAACTACCACACCTAAGCTATGTGTTCCTGCCTGAGAATATGCATTACAGCCTTTCATTAGTTACATCCAAAATACGGTCCTGTCACACTGAATGTACATAACCCTGTGTGGGCACAGGAGTCACTTCGTAGAATCATAGAACAGTTTGGGTTGGAAGGGAACTTTAAAGGTCATCTAGTCCAACATCCTGGCAATGATCAGGGACACCTTCAACTAGATCAGGTTGCTCAGAGCCTGAATGTTTCCAGGGATGGGGCATCTACCACCTCTCTGGGCAACCTGTGCCAGTGTTTCACCACCCAGTTTTTAAAAAAAAAATTATTTAGCCTCTTTTAGTTTAAAGCCATTACCCCTCGTCCTATGGCAACAGGGCCTGCTAAAAAGTCTCTCCCTCTTTCTTACAAGTCCCCTTTAAGTACTGAAAGGCCGCAATGAGGTCTCCCCAGAGTCTTCTCTTCTCCAGCAGAACAACCCTGACTTTCTCAGCCTGTCCTCATAGGAGAGGTGTTCCAGCCCTCTGATTGTCTTCATGGCCCTCCTCTGGACTCTCTCCAACAGGTCTATGTCTTTCCTGTGTTGAGGGCTCCAGAGCTGGAGGCAGTACTCTGGTGGAGTCTCACCAGCGCGGAGTAGAGGGGTAGAATCACCTCCCTCGACCTGCTGGCCACACTTCTTTTGATGCAGCCCAGGATATGGTTGGCCGCCTGGGCTCATGTCCAGCTTGACAATGGCCCATGGTTGGCTCATGTCCAGCTTTTCATCCACCGATATCCCCAAATCCTTCTTGCCAGGGCTGCTCTCAATCCCTTAATCTCCCAGCCTGTATTGATAGCAGGGTTTCCCCCGACCCAAGTGCAGGACTCTGGCAGCCCAGGATATGGTTGGCCGCCTGGGCTCATGTCCAGCTTGACAATGGCCCATGGTTGGCTCATGTCCAGCTTTTCATCCACCGATATCCCCAAATCCTTCTTGCCAGGGCTGCTCTCAATCCCTTAATCTCCCAGCCTGTATTGATAGCAGGGTTTCCCCCGACCCAAGTGCAGGACTCTGCACTTGCCCTGGTTGAACCTCATGAGGTTCACATGGGCCCACTTCTTGAGCTTGTCCAGGTTCCTCTAAATGGCATCCTGTGCCTCAGGCGTATCGACCACATCACTCAGCTTGGTGTTGTCTGCAAATTTGCTGAGGGAGCACTTGATTCTACTGTGTCATTGATGAAGATATTAAATAGTACTGCTCCCAGCATGGACTCGAGGGACATCACTTGTCACCAGTCTTCATCTGAACATTGAGCCATTGACCATTACCCTCTGGATGTGACCATCCAACTTCACTATATCTGTATTATGATTTAGAACATAAAATAGCACACAATTTACTTTGTATTTTTTGATGTGCAAAACCAAAAAGGTATAGTGATGTACAGTACATAGTCTGTCATACTACAGCAGACACGGGCTATGCCTGACACATCCTGTTCTCACAACATCCTCTCTGAGACAGACGCTCTCATTTTGAAATCCTGCAAAGCATACACACGTGTAAGCAGTGGTTTCGGACAGCTCAGCTACTGCAACTTTGTGGTTCGCCAGTCAACTATTAAAAAAAATGCTTGGCTTTATTTTTGTAGGAAACATCCATTAAAAGTGAAAGCAATAACAAAAGCTGTGCGTGAACTAATGCCCTCTAGCTAGAAGCATTTCAAGACTTCCTTTTGGAAAGAATAGGTATAATTTCAAACAAAAGTTTGGCCGCTAGGTGTAAAATTTTACTTTCAGCATACAATAAAATTGGCAGAATTTACTGGTGGAGACCAGGCCTGTCTTTGCAAGGGCAGAGGCCCTGCCCTGATTACCTACTCGGGCAACCTCACAGCATGTAACTTAGAGCACTCGAACAAGAAGTTGGGACCACGCTTCCCCACTGTCCCTCTAGGAAACCAAGGTAATGTTCTTTAGCGTATCATTGACTCAGATCAGTTCAGTGACTGATGGAAAAGCCCAGGTATGTGACACTTGGCACTGCCATGGTGAGGAGGAGATGCCTTCGATCAGCATTACCCTGAGGCTGGCAAGCACAGAGCAAAACCTGCTGGCACTCAGTGCCACTTCACCTAATGGCTTCTGCTGCCACCCAGGGACCCATGCCAAAAGCAGTGCCTCCATCCTACACTGGCTTCTGACAGTTGCCACGAAATGAGCATCCCAGTTTCCTTGGTTAGAATCATAGAATTGTTTAGCTTGTAAAAGAACTTTAGGGTCACTGAGTCCAACCATTAGTAACGCTACTAAGTCCACCACTAAAGCACCTTCCTCAGTGCCTACATGTCATTTAAATACCTCCAAGGATGGTGACTCAACCACTTCCCTGGGCAGCCTGTTCCAATGCTTGACAACCCTTTCAGTCAAGAAATTTTTCCTAATATTCAATCTAAGTTTCCCATGGTACAACTTGAGGCCATTTGAGTTTCCTCAGCTGCTCCTCTTAAGACTTTTTCTCTAGACCCTGCACCAGCTTTGTTGCCCTTCTTCAGACATACTCCAACACTTCAATGTCTTTCTTGTAGTGAAGGGTCCAAAACTGAATACAGCATTCCAGGGGCAGCCTCATCAGCACCGAGTACAGTGGGACAATCACTTCCCTAGACCTGCCGTCCAGACTGTTTCTGACAGAAGCCAGGATGTTGCTGGCTCCATGCCAAAAGCAGTGCCTCCATCCTACACTGGCTTCTGACAGTTGCCACGAAATGAGCATCCCAGTTTCCTTGGTTAGAATCATAGAATTGTTTAGCTTGTAAAAGAACTTTAGGGTCACTGAGTCCAACCATTAGTAACGCTACTAAGTCCACCACTAAAGCACCTTCCTCAGTGCCTACATGTCATTTAAATACCTCCAAGGATGGTGACTCAACCACTTCCCTGGGCAGCCTGTTCCAATGCTTGACAACCCTTTCAGTCAAGAAATTTTTCCTAATATTCAATCTAAGTTTCCCATGGTACAACTTGAGGCCATTTGAGTTTCCTCAGCTGCTCCTCTTAAGACTTTTTCTCTAGACCCTGCACCAGCTTTGTTGCCCTTCTTCAGACATACTCCAACACTTCAATGTCTTTCTTGTAGTGAAGGGTCCAAAACTGAATACAGCATTCCAGGGGCAGCCTCATCAGCACCGAGTACAGTGGGACAATCACTTCCCTAGACCTGCCGTCCAGACTGTTTCTGACAGAAGCCAGGATGTTGCTGGCTGCCTTGGCCACCTGGCCACACTGCTGGCTTATATTCAGCTGAATGGTGACCAGCATCCCCAGGTCCCTTTCCACCAGGCAGCTCTCCAGCCATTCTGCCCCAAGCCTGTATCACTGTATTGGGTTGTTGTGACTCAAGTGCAGGAACCCAGTATTTGGCCTTGCTGAACGGCATAGCATTAAAGGCCTTGGCCTGTGCAGATCCTTCTGTAGAGCCTTCAAGAAGATCAACACTGTCACGCAACTTGCTCTTGTCTGCAAACTTACTGAGGGTGCCCTCGATCCCCTCATCCAGATCATTGATAAAGATGTTAAACAGAACTGGCCCCAATGGGGAACACCCTTGTGAATCATAGAATCATCTAGGTTGGAAGGGACCTTCAAGATCATCTAGTCCAACCATCAACCTAACTCTGACAAAAAAAACCTTCACTAAACCATGTCCCCCAGCACCATGTCAACCTGTCTTTTGAACACCTCCAGGGATGGTGCCTCAGCCACTTCCCTGGGCAGCCCATTCCAATGCTTGATAAACCTTTCAGTGTAAAAATTTTTCCTAATATCCAATCTGAACCTCCCCTGGCACAACTTGAGGCCGTTTCCTGTAGTCCTGTCGCCTGTGACTTGGGAGAAGAGACCGACCCCATAATGGGCGAACGGCCATAAATAGTTTGTTGCACTCATCAACCGGCCAGGCTCACAAACCTGTACCCCAAATCCGGCGCCTCACCGCCTGCCTCACACTTCTGCTTCGTTTCCGGCTGTGCGGGGTCACGCCGTTTCTGCTGTGAAACGTTCAGCTGTGCGTGTTCCTATGGGCTGTACCGACAACGGCACGAGAGCAACCGTTATTGTGTGAGCAACGGCCACCCGGGCCGCAGCACAGCGTGCTGATGGCCCTTCCTCGCCCAGCGCCTTCGCAGAGGCCGGGCTGGGGTGGAGGCGAGGCCTCTCGCCCTTCACCGAGGCGGCCGGTGCCGGCGGGCGGGCGGAGGTTACCGGCCGGCCCCGGCCGCCCTGGGCGACGCGTCGCTGCGCCACTGGCGCCGCAGGGGCGGTGAGGGGAGGGCGCGGGCGGGGGGGACGGGACCATCCCTCAGGCGACGCCCCGCCCCCGGGGGCGGCGCGGCCAATGGGGCGGCGGGGGGCG